TTGATTTTTCTCTAATAATCATGAAAAAATATACAAATATTAAAATAAAAATTTCAGCTTAAAAGCCATCTTGAGTACCACTAAGAGGATACAAACAATACCTTAGGAAATTCTGAACCACCATGCTGATTTCATGGAAAGAATCTCAGAACAGAGTCCCTTTGATGCTTCTTCTTTAAATTAAAAGGAAAATCTTATGGCAGTATAGTAGTATATTGACAATTCTACTTTACAACTTGTATACTCTTGCAACGTGAAAACATGCTGTGAATCATATTCCCTAGTGCACTAGATGGTGTGGAATCAGTGCCTGGAATTAGCAGAAATAGAAAAGATTTTGACAAGGGTGGTAGGATCTTGGCCCACTGGAAAATGACGTCATAGAACAGAAACTTACATTTGTTACTGGATCATTTTCATTCTCTGTAACACATCCCTGAAGATTTAAGTTGAGGGCTTTACAAATGATCATGATTCTCTTGGCGGCTTTTTCTTCAAATGGTTTGATCACAAAGTCAGATTCTAAAAGATCCTTTTTTTGAAGTTTCAAGGTCTAAAAAAAATTGCAAAGTTTTAGTCACCAAACACCTGTCATTAAAAAAAAAAAGACATTCTAACTTATAACCCCCAATTGTAGGGATCAAGTTCATATTCTGCCTTACATCTATGTCTGGATCCAGCGAGAAGAGATTCAGCCTCTCCATGTTTCGAGTTGTTTTTACAGTATCTTCAGTTTCTGCGAGGTACTGCAGAGAAAACTGTGTTAGTCTTTGGTGTCTAAATATCCACGTACAGCCCCAGACACATCCACGTGGCCCAGAAGTAGCCCTCAGTATTTTAATACTATCTGTTAACACTTGGAAAATCTCGTAAAAACATGCTTTTATTTCTGAGCACTGTGTGCATGTTAAGTAAAGCACATAAGTTAATGGAAAGTTCTGAATTAGTTTCTTAGTCTAAATCTTAAAAAAATTATTTTCATCTTTTCTATAAAAGCAATAACTATTATAATAAGTACTTCAAGTTTATCTGCAAGTACAATGTCAACTTTATTACTTTTGCGAATTCTGGGTGTAGGCTGTTGTCTGAAGAATCTGTTTCCTCTGGCGTGCATTCACAAGTTACAGAATTATCCAGCGGATCTTGAAAAAAATACACCAAGAGAGGTTAAGTAATATTCATGAGTTGTACATTTTTCTAGACTGTGACATATAGAACTTAAGAACTAAGAGGGACGTT